ATTACTTAAGACATTACTTAAAACGATTTTAAAATAAGAACGGACTATGAATAGCATCCATAGTTTACTTCACTCTAACTTATTGCACTAGATTAGAACTAGTTTACTTTTAGAATCTACAAGCCTGTGGCGAGTCTTTCGTTTCGCGCGTTATTCAGGCAAGATGGCGACATCGTAGACGTCGTTTTGATGAGAAGAAGCGGGACTTCGCGGCAAGTTTACGTTCCAGAATCGTTTACGACTGTTTACGACGTAGTTAAGCGTACGGACTGTCCGCATTTAATCTCGTTAGCGTTCACGCGACCGCCCGGCGACTCCCGGTGAACACCGATCAGCCTTGCGGAACCGCGGCACCATGTCGGACGAGAAGAAGGTAATGCTTCTCCTTACTTAACCTACAAGCGCCAAGTATTTACGATCGTCGTGGCGTCGCGCGCTACTTACTCCAATCGTCCTTTGTTCGTGCAGGAGACAAAGACGGAGTCGGAGCACATAAACCTGAAAGTGCTGGGACAGGACAACGCAGTAGTTCAGTTTAAAATTAAGAAACATACACCCTTACGGAAATTAATGAACGCGTACTGCGACCGTGTAGTAAGTGTTTATCTAATCTTATCCCCCATTCTGTTTTTTTCTTATGTTTAGATACCTTTAACAATACAATAGAATCATATATCTTTCAACTTTTTAATTTCTTCAATTGATCTCTTATAAATTGAATTGTATATGGAGTAAGGATCAAAATCAAGACTTGCCAAGTACAAGTTGTTGTTAAAGTCCATCTCAGACTACATTTACACGGCACTCTTAATCGGATTTAATAACATCCGTAGTTATGAAACTGGCTAATCACAGTCGTTCCATTCTTCCGAGGAATAGCTATAATTCGCCAATATCATAACTATGGATGTCATTAAACCCGATTAAGCGTGCCATGTAACAGAGGTCTCAAACTAGAGATTGAAGTTAAAATGAGGAGCATAGACTGTTGCATAACATGTAAGACATAAGAAAATCAACCAATCAAAGTTCTTTTTCATGAAAAAGAAGAAAATAAAGAAGTTTGATTGATTCATTTTCTTATGCGTTATTCTTTGTGCAAGAGTCTGTGCTTCTCGCTTAAAGGTCTGTTCACATTGCTTGCACTTTTTGCACTCAACAGCTTTAATTTCTCTCCAACGCCTGAATATATATTTATCTCATTTTAAGTTAAAGTAGGTAAAAATTTTTGGAGTTTTTAAACAATGCCAATAGACCTTAAGATGAAATTAGGATTTAATCAATTAGACAAACGAAAATCTCAAATTTAGTGAATTTAATTAAAGTTTGATAAGTTGATAAAGATTCGTCAAATTTCAACCCAATCTCAATCTTATTATCTTGCCTGATATAGGCATAAATGGAATGCTATGTGTTAATTCTCTGATAAAATGACAATTGTTATATTTTCTGTTTGTTGAGTATTGCATCATTCATAGTGCTTTCTGTAGTTTATTGCTTAAAATATCTCTATTTTGTACATATATTAAAATGTATCAAAATGTAATATTTTCTGATGCAATATTTTTAAAGTTTTTGAAACTAGTTTTGACATTTGTTGAAGTCTAAACATTCTACAATTGCTTAAATGTAATTGTAAGAGTTAACCAAGTATAGTCAAATATTCTTCTCATATTTGATTGTGATTAATTTTATTTAAGCAACTGTAGAATAGGCTTTATATTTTTACAATGCGAAAATAATCAATTGCTCATAAATGAATTTCTAACAATATTGTTACTGCTTCATAGGGTTTGGCGATAGCAGCAGTAAGATTTAGGTTTGACGGACAGCCCATAAACGAATTAGACACACCTACCTCACTGGAAATGGAGGAAGGAGATACAATAGAGGTGTATCAACAGCAAACTGGTGGTTTTTCGTGTTGAGATGCAATGCATCGCGTTTACAAATGGACTAAATGAAATTATCGTTCCAGCAGTGTTTACTATTAACAGAAGGCATGATTTAATTTTTTTATCTTCACTCCGCTCTACATAACAGGAGACTTCGATCCATCACATAATGCACAAGATTCATTTAAACATTTAAATTTTGTTGAAGTTTAATTTAATTTTCGTTATTTTTCCCTTGTTTTCCTAATTTTTCAATTGAGTACAATTATATGTATATTTATTAGAAGTATTTAATATATATATATATTTTTTATATTTAAAGACACATTGGAGTGGAACCCGTTTAATCACGCGATTAACCACAGCTACTCATAGCTCGTACAGCAGAAAAACTCCAGGCACCTGCCGCTGTGAGTGCTTGTGGTCAATCACAACATGTCAAACAGAATGCTTCCGCGCATTGTGCCGTTGGTTGAAGTCTCTATTTATTGAAACGACCGTTTACTATAAGTTTTAATAATCAACACATACATTCGAATAGAATCAGTTTAACATGAAAACGTTTGTGTTACTGCTGAAAGAAAAAGAAGCGAAACATAATAAGTTCTGTAAAGGAACACCCATTATACTTTTCGGCATCAAGATTCTTTAAAAATTTTAAGAATCCCTATGTACATGTGGATTTTTACATAAATTTAACATTGCAACGATTCCGATTAAAAGCATTCTCATCTTTAGGTATCTATATTCTCTTTCTATATTTGTAAAGGGTGTACAGGAGAATGATGTGTAGATTAGGGCGTACATTTTTATTAATGAGTAAGACTGTAATTCCGGCTTTCGTTTGCGTTTCACAAAAACCAAATTTCGTACCATCATTACAATTTCAGCGTGGCCCCATGTTATTTTTTACATGAGCGATATAAATTGCGAGTTATCTTTTGTAAAAGAAAAAGATCTTTCAACTTTTGGCAAGCGGCTCCACTTTGGCAAGCCGTTCTTGATGCATACTGCATAGCGTACTTAGCAAGGAGGACCGATATAAGATAATTCGTATTTTTCTTTAAGAAACATATATATATATATTTTTGTCAAGATTTAAATATTGCTAATGTAAAATGTATTCCGAATACGATTTATTATGTTCGCTAAGTGTAAGTTTTACATAACTGTAAAATACATGTATTTAAAGTGTTTGTGAAAATACAATTTAATTAGACGCCACACTCCAATTATACACAAAAGTAGCAAACTTCAGTGATATAAATTTTTTTATTTGTAAATTTCATCAGAGATCTATTTACGAACTCAGAATTTCTTTAAAAATTATCAACTGAAGAATATAAAGAATAAAAATTTGTGGATTTAAAAATATATAAAGTTAGAATATACAGGGTGTCCAGAAAATCGAGGTTAATACTTCGGGAAGTAATTCGGGACTCAAAAAACAGGGAAAAAAAGCTGTATAAACATAGGTCCGGAAATAAGTCGTTTCCGAGTTATAATCACTTTTATGTTAAAAAAAATTGTTATTTATTTTTTATAATCACAATCATAATTTATTTCATAGTGTTTTAACATTGTTTTAAATAACTACATTTCGGACTATTTTGACGTTAACCAGAATGTACCACGTGGAAGCATAGTCCTCTTGGCATCCTTTTTTTTTAATTCTTTATTTAAAAATTTTTCTTACTTTACTAGAGGGATGCCAAGCGGACTATATCTCCAGGTAGTGTATCCTGGTTATCGCCAAAATAATCCGAAATGTAGTGATTTATGTTAAAATACTATGAAATAAATTGCGATCGTGATTATGAAAAATAAATTTTTTTTTAATATAAAAATTATAACTCGGAAATGACTTATTTCCGGACCTATGTTTATATAGCTTTTTTTTCTTCTTTTTGGATCCCGCATCACTTTCCGAAGTATTGACCTTGATTTTCCGGACACCCTGTATTTTGAGACTCATTAGGTTTATCGAAACATTAGGTCTGTTTCGCGTTGCATGCACTTTTGCACTCAACATCTTCGCTTTCTCTCTTTTCACCGTCCAAATATATATCTATCTCATTTTAAGTGCAAAAATATTTAAGGATTTCAAGCAACGCGAACAGACCTATTGCGAACATATTGGAGTAAGTTGCTAATGATTCAAATTTCGAAGACTGACTATGGCTTAGTTTATGGCTACGTTTACACCGTGCGCTTAGTCCGCGACCTATACGATAGGTGTCTATTTAATATACAGGATAAACAAGGACGTCTATTGTACAGGCCGCGGCCTAAATGCACGGTGTAAACGTAGCCTATATCATACACTTAATACGGGTACTAACTAGTAACTTTCTATTGAATTATCTTAATTTCGGCGATCCGTGTAAACATATACATAATATGTGTATTTAATTAATCATTTTGATGCATATTATATCAATTTAGTATGTCATTCTTTGAATACATCGCTGAAATTAAAATAATTAATAGAAAGTTACTAGTGAGTACCCGTGAGAGTTTTCTAAAGCCTTGTGTCCACGATGCTAGAAATTGGTCCGAGATCTCGGAGAGAGAAAGAATTAACCAATCACATTTAAACAATTTAGTCACATGATCAATGCGATTGGTCAATTCTTTCTTCATCCGAGATCTCGGACGGATTTCTAGCATCGTGGACACTGGGCTTTACAAGCGACACTGTTGCCTAATGCCGAATTCACACGACGCAGCAAGCGTCAAGCAGCGGAGAAAGCCTGATTTATAATGGCCGTAACCTTTAACTTATGCCGGTGCCGGTAAAGTTCAACCATAGGATTTCAATGCTTTCGTTCATACTAATATGGCAAGTTAATATGAACGAAAGCATTGAAATCTTATGGTTGAACTTTACCGGAACCAGCATAAGTTAACGATTACGGCCATTATAAATCAGACTTTAAAGTATAATTTGTGGACAAAAAGTCCCTAGATATCATCTAAGCACAGTTTCACTCTTAACTTGTTTCACAGATGTCGTGGCTATAAAAAGAAAATTGATTCGTTTTACGTATCTAGTATTCACACAATCGAAGCTTCGGAATCTAGATAAATCTGCGAGGTCGTGGTTTTGGTTATTAGTTGGTTTCCATTTGTCTCGTGGATGGTTTGTTGTCGCAGTGTTATTTATGTAAACAAAACGCTGACCAGAATTTCATGTGCGACTCACCGGTACTGAACATAATCCGCGTAAGGTAAGATCAATGCTTCACAAATTGTGAATAAAAAAAAGATGCAATTGCTGATTTCATGATTGATTTGCAAAACTGTTGTACGTCATCAGGTCAAGCATTTACACGGGCTTCACTTTGTAAAAGTTGGATAATCGTAAAATCTCAACAAAGAAAAGATGGGAGACTCCGATGAGGAAAACGAGAAGGACCTGGCATCTGGCCTTAATATCACTGGCTTCCTCTTTGGCAACATTGACGATAATGGTCAATTGGAGGATGATATCTTGGATCCGGATGCCAAACAACATTTAGCTTCGCTGAGTCGCCTCGGTCTGAGTTCATTCATCAACGAGATGATGTCCAATGACAATAATACTGAGGAGAGAGAAAATGGCAAAGTAGATGAGAAGAAGGAGGATCAAAACACAACTACAAATGACATGGATATGGATTATTTGGCGAAATCGCCTACTGCGCTAGATTTCTCAGATATAAATGAGTTGGCAGAAGATACAATTGATGAAATATGTTAGTATCTAATTGCACTATGGTTTTATATAGATTTATTTATATGTGATTGATAATGTTAAGACTAATCTACAATGTTCTTTACTTTTTGTTTCTTGCTTTTTACCTCTTTCTTTTTTACTTCTTACCCTGTTTTTTCATTTTTTGTTGCCTGAGATAAAATAATTAACAAGTTTCAGAAGAGATATGTAACAAGAAACACAATTGTTGATAAAATAGTTGTCAAGAAGAAAAAAAACAATAGGTAAAAAGCAAGAAGCAGGCAAAAAATGGAGGTTAACCTTTAATGTTAATAATTATAGTTATATAGTTATATTTGTTTTTAGCCAAAAGTAATGGATTCGATAGGAAACTAGACAAGGAAAATGTAGATTATGATGCCGATGACGAGGAAGTTGTCAGTAAATCAGATACACAATTAATGCCACCACCGCCAATACCAGAAGAGAAGGAGACATTGACTGCAGAAGAAGCAGAAGCAGCGCGTCAACGTAAATTAGAAACACCTCTTGCTTCCATGTTACCATCCAAGTACGCCAATATCGATGTCACCGAATTGTTTCCGGATTTCCGCACTAATAAAGTACTCAGATTCTCGCGACTGTTCGGACCCGGCAAGCCGAGCAGTCTGCCACAGATATGGAGGGGTGTAAGGAAGCGACGTAAAAAGAAAAAACATCATGATGTCAGAGATTCTGATTCTGGCTCTGATCAGGATGATAAAAAATCCAAATTTAAGGTATAATCTTTTTGTGGCAGATCTTTCTTGGATCTATGAAATTGCCAGTTGCTATTTTCACTGAATAGATTAATATTGCGTTGTTTGTTTTAGGGCTGGATCATGCAATATGGTCCTGAGCCGAGCACTGAAGCATGTCGTTCGGATGATGAAAATAAGCTACTACAACCAGTAGAAGACAAGGAACAGACTGGTAAAATGGGTGAAAGTGGAGAGAACGGTGACATGGGACCCAAAGTGGCTGACTGGAGATTTGGACCTGCACAGTTGTGGTATGACATGCTTGAAGTACCAGAAACTGGAGATGGATTCAACTATGGCTTCAAGATGGTTGAAAAAGTTAGAATTTATTATACTGCATTTGACACTGATTAAACGGAACAATTACTTTAAAATATTTATATTTTCTTGCATTAAATTTAGGTGGAAGAACAAGAAAATAAATCAGAGACCAAAGACGAAGATTTCACTGACGATGCATTCTTGATGGTGTCGCAATTGCACTGGGAAGATGATGTTGTCTGGAATGGAGACGACATAAAGCATAAGGTATAATTTTGTTAATAAAGTAGTCAGTATTATTATTATGTGCTTGCAAGAAAAAAAATAAATTAATTTTTTTATAGGTAATGCAGAAGTTGAACAGTAAAAATAACGCTGCCGGTTGGGTACCATCAAGTGGCAACAGAACAGCGCAAGCCTTTAGTCAGCCCGGAAAAGGTGCCTCTGTCACCGTAACACCTAACGTTAGACTAGCCACTTCGCAAATTACAACGCCACTGCACATGCAGTCTCAAAAGAATAAGATGAATATGGGCAAGGGAAATCAGCAGCCACAGCGGGAGGAGGACGACACCTGGTATTCAATATTTCCGGTAGAAAACGAGGAGCTTGTTTATGGTTTATGGGAGGAAGAAGTCATTTGGGATCCCGAACAAATGAAAAAGATCCCGAAACCGAAGATACTTACGTTGGATCCAAATGACGAAAATATAGTTCTAGGCATACCGGACGACATTGATCCCGCTCTTCTCCACAAGGACAACGGTCCGCAACCTAAAGTAAAAATCCCGCATCCGCACGTTAAGAAAAGCAAACTACTGTTGGGTAAAGCAGGTGTCATTAATGTCCTCGAAGAAGACACGCCTCCACCACCACCGAAATCACCTGACCGAGATCCATTTAACATATCAAACGATACATATTACATGCCTAAGTCGTCGGAAACTACGTTGAGGCTGAAAGTCGGCGGTGGCAATTTGATACAGCATAGCACTCCAGTGGTGGAGCTGCGTGTTCCTTTTGTACAAACGCACATGGGTCCAATGCGATTGAGAAACTTCCATAGGCCGCCGGTGCGAAGGTTCAGCTATGGGCCATTGGCTCTTCCAGCACCGCATGGTGTCTTGCCTCTGCTTAAGCATATTAAAAAGAAAGCTAAGCAACGAGAGCAAGAAAGAATTGCTTCCGGTGGAGGCGATGTGTTCTTCATGAGAACACCTGATAGCATCCACCGCTTATGAATCAAGTCGGCATGTGCTCCAAGGTGAAGAATTATTACAAGAGAAGGGCCGGCAAAGATCAGGGACCTCAGACATACAAATATGGAGAGACAGCGTACGCTCACACTAGTCCTTTTCTTGGAATTCTTACGCCTGGCCAAAGCATCCAAGCCATCGAGAACAACATGTATAGGGCTCCTCTTTACGAGCATAAGATTCCTGAAACTGATTTCTTAGTCATAAGATCGAGGTATTATGCCTTAATATAATTACGCTTGTATTATTTTTTTATGCCTGTCAATTTTATGTTATTTCTTGTATTTTAGTTTTATTAATCATGCGTTTCTTTCATCTATATATATTTAAATTTAGATATCTTTAAATTATTTTCATTGATTTGATAATCTTTGTAGACAACAATATTATGTTAGAGAAATGGATGCCTTATTTGTTGCTGGACAAGAATGCCCACTTTATGAAGTCCCTGGACCAAATTCAAAGAGAGCAAACAATTTTGTACGAGATTTTCTACAGGTGTTCATATATAGATTATTTTGGAAGTCAAGCGATACTCCTCGACGAATTAAAATGGATGACATAAAGAAAGCCTTTCCATCTCACAGTGAGAGTAGTATTAGAAAAAGATTAAAGCTGTGCGCCGACTTTAAGAGAACTGGTACGTAATCGTTATATTGTTTGTTACTTCTTTTTGCAATAAAAACTAAGAAATAAAAAAAATTGTTCAAAAAGAAACATTACTGTTATATTTCATTTCTAAGCAAATTTGTATACGTTCAAATTACTTACTTTTTTATATCAAATAGGCATGGATTCCAACTGGTGGGTAATAAAACCGGACTTTAGGTTGCCGACGGAGGAGGAGATCCGCGCTATGGTGTCGCCAGAGCAGTGCTGTGCTTATTTCAGCATGATCGCGGCCGAACAGCGCCTAAAGGACGCTGGATACGGAGAGAAGTTTTTGTTCACTCCACAAGACGATGACGACGAGGACATGCAGTTAAAAATGGATGACGAGGTGAAGGTAGCGCCGTGGAATACGACGCGCGCTTATATCCAAGCCATGAAAGGAAAGTGTCTACTGCAGTTGGCAGGTCCAGCCGATCCAACTGGCTGTGGTGAAGGTTTCAGTTATGTTAGAGTGCCGAATAAACCGACTATTAGCAAGGTTTGTTCTGACAAATATCTATCAAGAATATTGTTATCCAGATTAGAATAAATCATAAAATGTTTTATATAGGAGGAACAAGAAGCTCAACCAAAAAGAACTGTAACTGGCACAGACGCGGACTTGAGGAGATTGTCCTTGAACAATGCGAAAGCGTTGCTACGAAAATTTGGTGTACCCGAGGAGGAGATCAAAAAGTTATCGCGTTGGGAAGTAATTGATGTGGTTCGAACTCTATCGACAGAGAAGGCAAAGGCTGGCGAGGAGGGCATGACAAAATTTTCACGCGGCAATCGTTTCTCTATTGCCGAACATCAGGAACGTTACAAAGAGGAGTGCCAACGAATTTTTGACTTACAGAATCGTGTGCTGTCGTCGAACGAAGTATTGAGCACGGATGAGGGTGAGAGTTCGGAGGAGGACAGCTCGGATATCGAGGAAATGGGTAAGAATATCGAAAATATGTTATCAAACAAAAAGACCAGCACGCAGCTATCACTGGAACGGGAGGAACAACAGCGGCATGAGCTACGGAAGATGCTCATGGGCGAGGCGCAGGAACAGGAAGGCAAGAAAGGCAAGGAGAGCAAAAAGAAGGACGAGGAGGAGGACAGCCCAGTTAATAATTTTAATGCGCAGCAGGGACGTGTATTAAAGATTTACCGCACTTTCCGTAATCCTGAGGGCAAGGAATACACGCGAGTTGAGTTAGTGAGAAAGCCCGCCGTAATCGATACATACATTAAGATCCGTAACTCGAAGGACGAGACGTTTATCAAGCAGTTTGCCACATTGGACGAGGCACAGAAGGAAGAAATGAAACGGGAGAAGCGTAGAATTCAGGAACAATTGCGACGAATCAAGCGAAATCAGGAGAGGGAGCGTATGTTGGGTGGGCCATCTATAGTGAACGGCAGCAATATCAATAATTCGAATAACATATTCGATCGCAGTAACATTAACACTCCAACTACCACTTCCTCAACTAGTATCCTTCCATTTTGTAGTTTCCAATCTTCTACTTCTATCCCCGCGCCCAAACATCCTAAACAGGAGATATCGCCTCCTAAGCGTAAAAAACCTAAACTCAAACCAGATCTGAAACTCAAGTGCGGTGCTTGTGGCAACGTCGGCCACATGCGTACGAACAAAGCCTGTCCACTCTACCAGAACAGTATCGCCACTGCACCAGTCAACGTCGCGATGACCGAAGAACAGGAGGAGGAAATCGAGAAGCAGCTAAATACTGATGATCAGGATCTGGTTAATGTCGACGGCACCAAGGTGAAATTGTCCTCAAAACTTATCAAGGTGAGTTGATGGATATTGAAAATTTAACACCAAATTTAAATTATTCAATCCATATTCATATACGTGGTCCAAGAATCTAAAGAGTGATAAAAACCTCTTGTTTATTTCAGCACGCTGAGGAAATGAAGAGGCGTACATTATTGCTCAAAGTGCCGAAGGAAGCGGTAAATTCAAAGAAACGTAGGAAACCACCCACAGATGACCACTGTGATTATTTGAAACGTCATCAAAGACCGGTTAACAGACGTAGAACTGATCCAGTTGTAGTGATGTCTACAATGTTGGAGAGCATTTTGAATGAAATGAGAGATCTGCCAGATGTGCAACCGTTCCTATTTCCAGTTAATGCTAAAGTAAGCGCTACTTTAATTCATGAGGTTGCACACTACAAAACCACATTTGCAAATTGAATGAAAATGAAACTAAAATTCTATAAGCTTTATATAACTATAAATTTATGTACAGTATGTATAACAAAAATATCCTGAAAATCGAAAAACACTGTTTTACTTTAATATTGACCATGCTATGTTTTTTTTTTACCAGGTAGTCCCTGATTATCACAAGATCATACAGCGGCCCATGGATCTGCAGACCATACGTGAAAATTTGAGGCTAAAGAAATATCAAAGCAGGGAAGAATTTCTGGCAGATGTTAATCAGATTGTGGAGAACTCGACGCTCTATAACGGAGCAAAGAGTTCATTGACTGTGGCCGCTAAGAGAATGTTGGATACGTGTGTCGAGAGACTTGGCGAAAAGGAGGATCGTTTGATGAGATTAGAGAAGGCCATCAATCCTCTTCTTGACGACAATGACCAGGTTGCTCTCACTTTCATTTTGGATAACGTTGTCAACAATAAGCTGAAATCTATGACAGAAGTATGGCCGTTTATGAAACCTGTCAATAAAAAGATGGTGAAGGATTATTACAATATTGTCAAGAGGCCGATGGACCTAGAAACAGTATCTAAAAAAGTTTCTGGTAAAAGAAAACTGAAGTGTTTACGTAAAACTGTAGATTTATACGCTTGTACTTTACTTTTCTTTAAAATTAATTTATTTATTCTTAAAATTCTTCTAGCACACAAATATCACAGCCGTCACGAATTTCTTAGAGATATCGAACAGATCTTGGAGAATTGCTCGATTTATAATGGTAAAGAGTCTCCGCTTACAAGTAAAGCGGAGTTGTTGGTTAAAGTGTGTAAAGATACATTAGATGAGGTATGACTATTTTTGTATTAATTAGGTAAAAAAATTGTTAAAAGTGCTTAAGTTAAATAGAAATAAAGTTGCTGATAATGATGAATTTTATTTTAGTATGATGAACATTTGACACAACTGGAGAATAATATATTGCTAGTGCAAAAACGAGCGATGGAGCAAGCAGACATAGATTCCTCCTGGCTTTGCCCCGATGAAGAAAACTATACTATCACGGAACCTGAATATAGAGGCGTAAGTATTATGCTTATTTTTATATTTAATACTTAACTATGTAATAGACACAAATTACAGCAGTGTTTAGCTCTAATTAGCCCGGTTTTTATTTTAATTATTGTAGAACATTGAGAGCTCGTTAAAAATTGTTTTATTGTACTTAACTATGTATTTCTTATTTATAACTCATATTTTATTATTTCATTGCTTAATTTTATTTACATTTTATTCAACACTGAAATTTATCTTTAGAGCCAGAACAGTTCTCCAGAGAATCCATTTAGCAAATCAAATATGGATGACTTCGATTTTGTCGATGTAGAAGGAGACATGGAAACGGACATGGATAGGAATTCGAAAAAGAAGGATGTGCTTGAAGAAGGTAGAGTAGTGTAATCTTAACTTTATTTTGTATTTATCGGAGCTTGTTTAATACTCTTTCTTTCTGTCACAGATCTTCAATTCTCCAGCGAAGATGAATTTGATGAAGTGCCATTCGGCACGGACGAACATTCCGAGCAAAACGAAACGGAGGCATTGGAATTAAGCGAGGTCAGAGAAGGTGTCGTATTAGCAGATGATGACAGTCAACAAGCCGCAGAAGCAATGGTTCAGTTAGGAAATGTCGGTTTTTATATGGGCGAACAGCAGCTGCTTCAACAAGGTAAGAAGATAATGGCTGCGTTCAACAGAGAAAATTAATCAGTTAGCGCTTAGTGATTCTTTAATATGATTGGTTCTTGCCTTTAGTTCTTTATTGGATCTAAGTGTAGGAACCTATTATTATTTTCTCTGCTGAACGCAACCAATATTTTAAGCGACTCATTTGCTTCACTTGATGATTTACTCCTTTGAAGAAATTAGAAATTTTATTTATAAAATATAAATATGTTAAAGAGAAATTTATTAATATCTTTATATATAACAAATGGTTTGAGAAAATATGACTCTTCAAAGATAAAGACGACGTTTTATTGAATCGCTTTTAATTACATTTGTTGTTCAATTGATAGAATTGTATTAACTTTTTGTTGATTTTTTCCGTAAACTCCGACTTTCCATTCATAGATGAGAGCATGGATGTTGATCCAAATTACGATCCGTCGGACTTCTTGTTGGCTGGTTTACCAGCTAGAGATGATAAGGGAGAGAATAAGATCCAGGATGATCTGGCTGTTTCCGAAAGTGATGATGACGCCGAAAATGTCACGTCCAAGCAGGAAGCACAGCAGAATCAGCAGCAGCAACAACTGATACAACCGGACGAGGATGTCACCGGTGATTTGTGGTTCTAAATGCGAAAGTTTTGTTGCTTGTTAAAGTAACGCGCGAGAATGTATATTTAGTCTATTTAACAATGGGTTACAAATATAGTTAGAATCGTGAATTTTTAAATCTATCTTGTAAGATTGAAGAATCTAGAGTTTATTCATATTATGTGCATATATGTATAGGAACTTGTAAATATAGAATAAAGTGTTGTTTTTTTTTTCTATCTATGGACTTATCGCTACGTTACATTGCTATGCTATACTTATGTAAATAGTATCTATTATAAACGATATATCATTATTTATATAAGTCTAATTACGTTATCTTAACATTAATACGTCGTCTAGAAGAAGAAAAAGGTAATGATAATTAAAAATAATGACATTTTCAGTTCATTCAGCATTTTATTGCTTTATGTTAAAAACGTAAAAATGTGGATTAGTAATTGTACTGAACAACGAATTGCATGAATCTTTAAATATTATGACATAAACTGCAATTTCAATGTCATAATCTTCCAGAAAATTGAAAGTTGAATTCTAACCCATAAAAAATCTCTCTTTTAGTTTTATTATTCCATATTTTTATAAATTTCAGTGTTCCATGTATTATATATTACATTGTTTATATTATTGCTTTCTATTTTATATATTTCCATTTTTAATACCTAATATTTCTTCTAGGAGCTCCAGCTGCTGTCACATTTCTTTTAAAATTTAACAACTTTTAAATTAATCCCAAGAATGATCACCGATGAAGAACTTGCACAGAGAATGGATGCTATCTCTAAGAGCTTCTCGTCCACTGTTTTGTACTCCTCGACGCAGCAGGATAAGATCCAGGATAAAACCTTGGATAAGATAACGATGATCGTCAGAAACGCAACAAAGAAGCAGTTGCAGTCTCGCCATCCTCACACGCTTATCACGTGTCTACTGAGAATCCTGCTGTATTACGAGAAAGTATTGCACACGAATAGATTTTGCGATTTATGGAAGCGTCGACGTAAATTTAAAGTCGCCCGAGATTGCTATCATGCTTTACTGAAAAGCTATCTGCCCGAAAGATCACGGGATGTCGTGGAGACCATCGTGGAATCCATCTATCACGAGCGACTCTGGAAATTCGAGACTTTCTGTTTTGAAGTGATGTACAGTCTGCTGAACATCAACCCTGTTATTGCCGGACTGATCGTCCATTCAATTTGGAATAAATTAACACTGCCAGAAATTAGCGTCGAGGATGCTCGCGGTATCGTCAGAATATTGTATGAGCTTCTGGACGTGTATGTGTGGCCGGCAACGCAGGATACAGTAGCGACAATAGAAAGGATGCTCGCGCTCTTCCACGCCAGTATAATCGCACGATTAACGACGACCTCCTTTTCCTCTTCCTCTTCTTTAGCACCTTTACCACCGTCATCGCCATCGACGCTTGCAAGCCTCAAGAAAGGTTTAGAAGTTTGCCTAAGAAATACTATGAAACATATGCCGAACGATCAGCTGCTAGTGGTCGTACAGCACATGTGCTCATGGACAGTGGCCGCAGGTACGACCGACGAATTCGTTTTGGAATTCGCCAGTACCTTGGAATTCGCTGCTTATATGCACCAGGCGGGTCTCTACGAGCAAACCCTCACCCCGAAAATCTTCCCGCTGTTAATGCAAATGGTGGGCTCGTCCAGTCGGATCATCAGTCTACTAGGCAACCGAGTGTTGCAGTACTTGATGGACCGCCAAGACAACCGACCGATCTTCGACACGCCCAAGATCTTCTTTGAGCACTCGCGTCTTGATCTGCGTATCACGCAGTGTCGCAAAGAAGATCGGTTGTTCTTCAAGTTGCATCGCGAATTGCTACACGATAGCCTGCTAAAGAGTCTAATAAGCCACTCGGACTCACGGATGAATCTCGAGATGACGTATTGCACGATATGTATGATCGCTGTCGAGGTACCCTGTGGCTTCATGGCTGCTGCTCTGGTCTGCCTCGCGATGAATCTACAGGAGATCATCCTGCAACAGCAGAACAATCACGTGGAAATAGCTTGCCACATACATGCTATGATCATCTCTATTATGTCCCTCATCTGCTGGATACACAAGGCTAAAGCTTTCTACAACTATGTGAACAGAGTTGTGACAGAAAGGGCGCAATGGGCGCCGCATCTGAACCCTCCCATCCAATCCCAATACAACTTTGCTCTGCATCACGTTCTTTGGAACAAGCCGGAGCTATTCTTCGTCGACTGGGAGGTGCGCTATGGTCTCTGGAAATGCTTCCATCTCACCGACATCCACAACAGCATCTCGTTAATTGCACATTGAATGATATGATTTCTGAAATGAATTAGGAATTCACAGATCTGTCTTTGAGATCACTCTATTATATTTTAAATTAAAGAAGATTCAAGGAAATAGAAATTTAATGAAATCAAGGGGCCATGAGGGGCAGTTTTCTATATTTGACGATTGAAGGAGGAATGAAGAATTATAATTCCATACAGGGAGGAATTATATTAGAGGGAAACTATATTAATAGAAAGGAATTATGTAAAAAAGGAATTATTGATAGAAAGATTATTGTGTAAGTTAACTATTTCTCTTATTATTTTATAAGACGCTTGTAGAAAATTGCATTGATACCCAGCTGAGTCTTTTAAACGATATAATGGCACAAATATCATAAATATATAATTATATATTATATATATATGATTTATATATATATAATCATTACACATATATAAAATGTTATATATAAAATACATAAAATGTCGTGTAAAATATAAGTGATACATATTGTATGTATCATTTATCACATCTTTATTTTATTATATTATTATTTGTTTGTTGCGGCGCCATTGCACGCGTCGCCCAGCGTCGCCATCTCGGAGCGCAACGAAGATCGCATGATTTATGGCGCACTACTTTGGTAATTAACGCACATCGAAGTGACTCAAGTGAACTCAAGCTTTTCGCGCGCAGGATAACTGTCTTGATTGTGTTTTGTATTTCATATCTTAAGGAAAGCGAGGACGGTGCTTGAACGATCAATCAGATTTCAGAAGCCCCGAATACCTCGTTAAAGTTCAATTCTGTATTTGATATAAACGATATAATGGTATTATAGAGCGGTGTTGGAAAAACTATCAGCTTTGTCATTCTTGTTGAGGTGCTCATTATCTTCTCCGTGTTTGTAAACACGGAATTGTCGAAGGTAAAGAGATACGTTACACCCGGCGATATCAATACACTGATTATGAAAATATACGTTTACTTTTAAACGATACAAATGTAGCGCGCATACAGTTCGTTTATTAGTAACCGTAATAACAGTGCATTGTAGATAGCTGTAAAAGCGGCCTAATACAGCACTTGTGAATCCTCTAAGCTCTAGTCAACGTTCTCTTGTTTTTCTATCGAGTATACGAAATACCTTTCACACAGGAACAATGTCTGACGAACAATTCTCCTTGGTGTGGAACAGCTTCCCAAGAAACCTGTCTTCAGGCTTGTATACTTTGCTGACAGACGAGCATTTCGTGGATGTCACATTGGCCGTCGAAGGTCAAATCTTGCGAGCTCACAAACTAATATTGTCAGTCTGCAGCACGTACTTTCGAGAACTTTTCAAGGTACCTTATTATTTTAGTGATACAATGGTAATATTGTAACTACTTTTGTTAAGGCTTCATTGATTCAGTGATTTGTTATACACAGGGAAACACATGCAAACATCCTATTGTCATACTGAAAGATGTCAATTATCGGGATTTGTTAGCTATACTGCATTTCATGTATCAAGGAGAAGTCAATATCAAGCAAGAGGATATCGCTAGCTTTCTGAAAGTTGCAGAGGTTCTACAAATAAAAGGACTGACTACAGATTCAAATGAGGTTTGTTATACAGTCGAAATTATCAGGGTTGGGTAAGTTAATCTTTTTTTTTAATTAAATTAAAAGGTAAGTTAATAAAAAAAGTAATTGAAGAATTAAAAGTTAAATATGGTCCAAACGAACAACCATAAAAAAAGAAAAAGAAAAAATTTGATCATTTTACATAATTTTTTGTATTTTTCCTTTCTCATAGCAAATTTATTAAGGAATCTAGTTATTTTTGTCCACAAGTAATGATTATACAATATAAAATTACTAAATTATGTACTCATTATCCACTTGCATTGTGTCCGAGGATTGACTTAAAAAAAAAAATCAAATTAAAAAATAATAGTTACTGATAAAATGTAATTAAATTAAGTTAAAAAGTTAAGAGTCTAAAATGTAACTAAGTTAAGTTAAAATTAATTAACTTTTTAATTTAACTTTTATCTTTTTAACTTAGTACTACCCAACCCTGGAAATTATCTTTATAAAAATACAGTGTTTCAGGAAAATGCTAGTGTTAAAATGATAATGCATAGAATGTGAGAAAGAGTGATGTTGCTTGTTTATAAAGATGTTATTTTTTTCGAAGACAATTTCTGTAAATCTCTAAACATAAAATATATTTTAACTCTATTTTTTTATACACAGTTGATTTCTACATTGCAGAGATTTAAAGATACTCTTAGAAAAAGTGACGAGGACTTTGAAGATCGTGGTTTCTATGAAGTGGAAAAGGACAGATGTGAACATGGCGGTACAGACGAAAACGTCTCCACATTCAGCAGGCTGACGCACATCGTGAAGGAGCAGTCTACGAGGCAAAGCACTTCAACAGAAGACGTCTCAACGAGAGAACCGTTTACTGTACAAACGTCAACTGTCACTGACACTTGTCATTGGCAAGGTTGCACAGAAGCTGACTACAGTGTCCCAGATGATAAAGATGTTCAGACAGCGTTCAGTGAGAGAAGCAGAAGCACAGACATACCATGCCGCATGGAAGAACAGCCGTTGGATTGCACATCCGACGTGAGTCAGCCACAATCAACCAAGCCCGAACCGCTGGATTATACGATGGACACGGATATGGATTCGGGATACAGATATGCAGCGGAAAAAATACTCTATGCCGGCAACGAGAACGCTCCGAAACAAGGTAGTGATTCTCCCGCCGTCCTGTCGGCATCTCGTGTACTTTAAAGACAACGCTAACAGTAGATTGAATGACGTCGTCGGAACGTCATCCGGAGCTGAAACGCCCTTTGGCAAAGAGAAAAGTTTGCTGTACCAGCAGTATCGGCGCCCCAAAGGTTTGACACACTCAAGTGTTGCCACGGATAGATGTGTACTTTGTTATTGAGACTCATTATCACTTGTTTGACTGCGACGCAAGCTCTTAAGCACTTTTACGTACTATTTAATTAACCCCCGGTATTTCTAGCGTGAACATCTTAGATCTCATTATCATCCCTCCAACGAGCGACATTGTTTCTCTATAAATTTCTAACGCATTTCGATTCAACAAGGAATATGGTCGGTTCACATTGCAAAATCAATTCGTTCGTTAAATCGCAACGCCGGGGGTTAAAGTCAATTTAGTCTCTGTGATCAACGCAATATCACATTTGCATGTTCACGCGAATGGGTGTTTCAAATCCGAGCAAGCGATGTTCCTCGAATTATAATTCTTTCTCTTTCTCTCTCTCTCTCTCTCTCTCTCTCTTTCTTTCTCTTTGCATAAATTCACCAGGCACCTCATCTCATTGGCCATGAATGTCTAGAGAAAGCGATGTTATCTTACAGATTTCGCGCCAGATACGCAGTTAGTTCCCTACAATCAGAATTCACAAACTCAGCCATTCGGTACGTTTTACACTTCTGTCGCATTTTGCTTGTTGTTCACATTCTCCAACTCGTTCAGCAGCATGTTTGAAAAGAGAACCAATTCGCAAGATATTTTTTTTTGTAGAATGAATGTAGGAAAATAACACGAAATTTTATATCTCAATACTTGTTAATTGGTTCGCTGACAATGTTCCTACCTGTTTTTTTTCTTTCTAAATTGCAGAACTGCATGCTAATTTGTAATTTATTTTTAGATGCTATTAATATGAATTGATTATATAACGAATGGGTTTTGTTGGAAAAATACGAATTGCATCAGTTACCTTTTTTATATTTCTTATCAATCTTTAAATGTAAATTTTCAAGTTAATCTCGTTCTTTTACTGCATAGTTTTTTTCCGATATCTCAGAAACTGCATCTCTGCTGTACACACTGCTTATAAATATATTCGATTGATGCAAAAAATTTTTCGCTTAGCTATCAAAATCTGTATTAAATAAAACTGAAAAACTGAAGTTCTTTAAAGAGGGAATTTTAAAAATCTCTCTAGATGAAATAAAAAAGGAACTGAAATCCGCGTAATTTTAGACTTATACTTTTTAAACTTTTTATATGAGTCAGTGTGAAAAGAAAAAGAAAAAATGAACTGTGTAAGAAGTTCAGCTAAAAAGAACAGACCCTTACTTCCATTTTGCGTTTTTAATTTTATTTTACTAGATACAACATTTTTTGCACCAATCTAATACCTCACTCTGTTTTCCTCCTACATTTGTATATCCTATTTAACATGTTTTTCATTTTCTTTATGTAATCTCTTGATGGCTTTAATCGAATGCATATCTAATAGTCTCAAGAATAATAATACGATATCTAATAATATTCTCTTCTTTAGTAGGTTTAAACGACACAACGATTTATCCAAGTGACTCAACATATGAGACGGCGAATTCCAGCACTAAGGGACGACGTACAGTCAAAGGTATTTCCGGCAGCAGCTTGCCATTAGAGACAACGCTGCGTGTCGTTTCAGAGCTGGGTCCAACGTTGATCATGGACCATGGCAAGGTAATACGCATGTATGCGTGCCCGTGGTGCATGCGTCAGTTCACACGCAAGGAGAACCTCAAGCTACACGTCCGTTATATTCACGGTCCGCTTGAAACTCTCACGTGTAAGCTTTGTGGTAATAAATATAAGAACAGTAACAGTCTACGTGTACACTCCTACCTCTATCACAACTCCAAGCGGGATAAGAGCAGCAAACCGTTGGCAGCCGGTGACGACGGTATCACCATCGACGGCGACGGTGATGGTGACGGCGTGTGAAGGAACAGCTCTCTCAAGAAGTTTCTTCTTCTTTTGATGTGCCCATCGAAAAAGGGCAACGAGGATTAATAAGTGTTAACAAGACAAAAACGGAGAGCGTTAAGTCGCGACTGAAATTTGTTATATTTATATTTGCGCACCATGCCACAACTCGCACAAACTAGACACATAATAAGTACCGATTATTTCTATACGATGCTAAATAAGCGAGAAGTTTATAGAAATAAAGCGCCTTATTGTAAATATGTTCTTACAAAGTAATCTACCCTTCCCATCCACCGTCCGGTTTTCATCTCTCCTGGAATTTCATCCGAAATTCATCATTATATGAAATTT